TTTAAAACGATGGAATGGTTCTAAAATAAAAGCAATTACAAGGTATTTTGTAGTGGCATTAGTTTGTGTGTGGTTTGAATTTTGATTTTTTTTTTTTTTCGGGGGTGCGCAGCAGGCATAGGTGCTCCCTGGAGGGGGGCACACCCTTTCATACTTTGAAAACCCCTGATCTAGCCAATGCTCTGATGGGTTCATAGTCACCTGACAATGTTGTGATTTAAACCTGTATGTCATCTGCATAGTTATTGTGAAATATCTTGTTTGCTATTATCTGAAGTAAGGGGAGCACGTAGATATAAGAGGGACCCCAGAATGGAGCCTTGGAGAACTCCACATGTAATTTTTCTGGTCTCTGATTTAAAGTTCCCCACTTTAAATCAGACATAGAAGTCCCATTCCTTCAAGTAGGACTTAAACCAGTCCAGAGCTTTACCAGAAAGGCCCACCCAGTTTTCTAGATGCTCTAAAAAACTCAAGTGATCACCAGGGTTAAACGCTGCACTGAGGTCCAAAAATATCAGCACTGTGGCTCTTCCACAGTCTGAGTTTATACAGATGTCATCACAGCAGTCTCTGTACTGTGGTTGGCACGGAAATCTGACTGAAGGCATCAAAGCAGCTTGTCATTGTTAAGAAGCCATTTAACTGTGGAAACAACTTTTTCAATAATCGTACTGATGAAGTGGAGGTTTGAGATGGATCTGCAGCTATGTAGGACTAATTTGTCCAAGTTTCTCTTTTTCAACAATGGTTTGATAATTGCGGTTTTCAAGGCCTTGGGGGAAATATCAAGGGATATAAGGGATGTAACAAAGAACCAGATTCCTGGAGGTCAAGGGATGCTTTCCCTGTTCAGGCAATCCGAGGAGGAGGCNAAGTTCTCGAATAGGCTCCCCATGCGATTTGGCAGAAAAACTGCTGTGCATCCCTAGAAATTCCAGACGACATTGCAGAAGCATACCAGCAAAGCTAGTTTGCGACCAGACGCAAGCAACATTTGATTTGTGCGGTTGCAGAAGTATAATCCGCCCTTTAGTTACTGCCTTTATGTGCCTCTGAAGGTTTCATTCTGAGTCCATCATGACGCCAACATTTTGGCAATAATCAGTTCTCCTCATTTGGTCCAAAAATTATTACCTCAGTTTTAGAAAAAACGTGGCACATCCACATATTGATCTGTTCTAATCATCTAGCCCGGCGGTTTTCAAAGTGTGAGGCGCGCCTCCCCTAGGGGGCACCAGAGCACCTTAGGGGAGGCATGGTGCGAGGGAAAAAATAAATATGGATTTAGGACAAAGTTGGAACTGTGGGGTGCGCGTGTGGAGCGGGGATCAGTGGAAATGTTTCCCACCTTAGAGGATGTTTTGGCCAGAGCGGGGCTGAAGGTGGAGTTTTTGGAGAGGATGCGCAAGCAGTTTGGAGAGTATTTTGGAGAGGAGATAATGACAAACCAGTGGGTAAGAAACCCATTTTCCTTCCCCGTGACACTCAAAGATGGACTTTCACCAGGAGAGGAAGATGCTCTGGCTGAGCTGAGCTGTGACATGGACTTGAAACAGAGGATGAGTGACGTGTCACTTGCGCACTTTTGGCTGTCAGTAGGGACTGAATTTCCACAGCTCTCAATGAAGATCTGATTGAAATGTTTTTGTTAAGATGTGAAAACACTGTTGGTATCTCAAACATTAAACTCAGAATCTCAGATGTAACCTTTGTTTGAAAAAACAGCTGAAAAGTGAGTTTGGGGTTGTTCTTATCATTAGAGAAATGAAAAAAGGGCGTATTTGCCATACAAAGGCCTCGATAAAATAATTAAAATGGGAGGAAATGTTTTAAAATGTTCATTTATAAAATTTCATTCAGATAGTGTCATTTAAAACGATGAAATGGTTCTAAAATAAAAGCAATTACAATGTATTTTGTAGTGGCATTTGTTTGTATGTGGTTTGAATTTTTGATTTTTTTTTTTTTTTTCGGGGGTGCGCAGCAGGCATAGGTGCAGGCACGTGCAGAGGGGGGGGCTAAGGGGGCTTGAGCACCTGCCCCTTTTGCTCCATGATCCCAATGTGCCCTTTTGGTCTCTTTTTTTTTTTTTTTTTTTTTTGACACATGTACTGAAATATTATTATTATCTTTTTTTTTGGCAAGAAAAACAATACAATAAGCCCTCCGGTCACATTGTTACCTTTGACCTTTTGCCGGTGACGACGCACTTGCCTCTCGCACAGTCAGATAAGGCAGCTAACTGCGGAGCTAAAGGTAGCGAACATTCCACATTACACTGTGGCCTCATTTGGCCCTAAGCAATATCAACCATGATCGGACGGATGGCTGTCTTCAGTCTGCATCGCCTCTCCAATGTC